AGGCGCCAGAGCCCGGTGGCTTGGGCCGGAGCGGCGCGCGGTGGGACCCGGAGGCTCCCGAGGCGGAGACGAAACCCAGAGCTGGGACGCGGGTGGGGGAAGGGAGAGGGAGGCGGGGGATCCAGGCCTCGGGGCGGGCGGGCGGTCACCGGAGGCCGGCGCTTAAGCTGCGCGGCCCCCCCCCCCCCCCCCAAAGAGAGCTGGTCCGGGAAGCAGGCGCCCTCTCCCAACGGGAGCCGCAGGGTCCTGGAGAGGTTGGGACCCTGGTTCTGACCTGGCGCGGCGCTGCGGCAGAAATTTGATATCTGAGAGCTTGTGGGCTCCCCGCCACCGCCTGGCAAGACCGGCCTTATCTTCGATCACAAAAGCAGAAACGGGAGCCCAGGGTGGTTCAGGGACTAGCGCGCTGGAGGTCACGCAGTGTACCCACCGCGAGGCCTGGAGTGTGAGACAGGGTCTCTGCGGGCGAAGCGCAGCTGGTTTTCTGCAGGACCCAGGGAGTGCTGGATTTGCAGAAGCCCCTTTGGGGCTAAGTCTTTCCGTCCGCTCAGGTCACACATAGAACATAAGCCACTGTGCAAAACGACCCGAGTTGGTAAGGCCGCTGGGTGCTTATGTAGAGAAGCAAAGACTTCCATCCCCGGAGTGTAGGCTTCTGACCTGTTCCTCCGGCAAGCCAAGTGCTAGCTGACCCCGAGAAAAAAAATTCAAGTCCCTACGTCACACTGTGTCTTCCTCAGCACTCCAGAGGCCTTGGCGACCTTCCAGCCCAGGATGGTTCAACCCTACCCTGGGCAAGGGACTTTGTCCAGCTCTGCTTGGAGGGCACCGCCACCAGGTCACCAGTACAGAGGCATGGAAGGACAAAGATCAAGAGTCTCATAGCCTTCAGCCCATGGGCCCCTCACAGGAGGCCTTCGCCAGCGGGCCTGGCAGGAGGCTGTGACCGAATCTGGCCTCTTAAGGTAGCATTTGCCAACTGGAAAGTCTTCCCACTTCTCTCCTGTGGCCTGTGGGAGGGGGAAAAGAATCCCCCAAGATAGTCCCAAATACAATGTGAGAGCCACCCATGGTGGCGGCCCTTCTGTCTCCTTGGGATGGCAGGGGTGGAGATCTCCCCGGGGCATTTCAGCCTCTCCCTGGAAACGGCCAGCAGGAGATGGAGGCAGCGAATGCCCTCAAACATGGCTGACTCCCGGGCTCTCAGCCCTGTCCAAAGCATTCCGCTTCTGTTTTCCTCCACACTCAGAAGGTGCCACCAGGGGGGGAGAAGGCCCCGCCAAACAAATGCTCTGGGTTCGGCTTGGGTGGGCCAGGCAACCACTGCCAGGTCGCCCCCCACAGCTCCCTGAAACAATGATTGGTGGCATCAGCTATTTTAATACAGAGCCAGGCACACAATCCTTGCTAAAAATAAATACAAAAGGAAAACCCCAAAGTAGCTAAGCCTATTTTCATACCGTTTTTTTTCCCCCTTGTTCATGGCTCTTTTGTCTTCCCTGCTACTTGGTTGCTGATTTTTCTCCCGGGCACCCTTGAGTGTGGCCCTGGCTCCATTCCAGGTCCTGGTCATGCCACAGACAGAAACGGAAGGGAGAAAAGAGAAGCTCTAAGGACCGTTTCTTTGAGCGTGATGTACCTTAGGTGGAAGATGGACCCCTTCAGAGACCTGGGGGAGCTCGGGGCGAGGCTCACCTCCCACCGTACAGCCTTTATGTGGGGAAGGGCCTTTTACATGAAAAAAGCAGATGGAGCACGTAGTAGAGAACAAGTCTGTTACTTTGGGCTCCTGGGGGCGTCACCTCGTCACTTTAGGAAGTAAACAAGAGTGACAAATGCCTGAGGATACCTAGGCTGGAGCCCGTGGCCCCTCTTTTTCTGGGGACTGATCTGGGGAGGGGCAGAGGGGAGCGCCTGTCTGCTGCAATAGTGCAGATTTTCTCGGCCAGCCTCTCCCCACTTCTGCGCAGCCGCAGCAGGCAGGCTAGGGATGGGCCTCTAGTCAAATGGGAAGGATACTTTGTATCAGGGGCTTGGACCTAGCCCGGAACCAGGCTGTATTTCTAGGAAACCCAGGTTCGGTTCCCAGTACCAACAGGGCAGCTCACAACTGTATTCACCTCCAGCTCTGGGACATCAAACGCCCTCTTCTGGCCTCTTCGGGAACTGCATGAAGGTAGTACAAAGACAACCCAGGCAAAAGACACACATCCAATTTTTTCTTTTCTTATGGTTGTTATTATCTTGTTTTTAAAGACAGGATCTCATGTTTCCCAGATACTCACTATATCTGGATGATGACCTTGAACTTACAGTTCTCTTGGCTTCACCTCCCAAATGCTAGGATTACCAATGTGCACTGTCATGTTTGGCTCTTATTCATTTGTTTGTTTTTCGAGACAGGGTTTCTCTGTGTAGCAGCCTCCGGTGTCAATGTCCTGGACTCAATTTGTAGACCAGGCTGGCCTTGAACTCACAGAGATCTGACTGCCTGCCTCCCTGATGCCCGGCTTTTATAAGGATTTTGCTTACATACCTGTTGTATAAGTTACACAGCCATGTCGTTCAGGTGTCTTCCTTTTTAGGGCTGGGAGTGGATCCCAGGTCCTCTTGAATGCTGGGCAATCGCTTTACCTTGAGGCTATACCCAAACCCAAAAGATCAAAATATAAAAGGGCAAAAGGGAGCCAGCCAGGCACTGTGGCACATACTTCCTGGTCCCAGCTACACAGGAGGCTGAGGCAGTCCCCTCAAGAGACCAGCTCTTTGTTGGTGGTATCTTTTGTGCTTTTGTCTGTTTTGCAGGGGGAAGGGCACATGTGCCGGGCCATTCCTGTAGAGGTAAGAGGATGAGCTGTGGGTATCAGTTCTGTCCTTCCACTCTATGAGTCCCAGGGATCAAACTAAGGTTGTCCAGCTATATGGCAGGTACTCATACCCACTGAGCCGTCTCAACAGTTCTGGTTACTTCCATGTTTGTTTGTTTGTTTTGTTTGTTTGTTTGTTTGTTTTATAGAGCAAGCCTAGGGGTCTTTCTCTATAATCCAGGCTGGCCTTGGACTTGCTGCACTCCTCCAGCCTCAGCTACCTCCACCCCTAGCATCTGGCTGGGTCTGGGGAATCAGGCTGTGTCCAGCTGAGAGGCTTTGGTTTCCATGGAAAGCATGCAGAAAACATGTCTACATCCATGAAATAACTAAGCATTTACCAGGAACATCTCAAAACCCAGCACTAGAGGGAACACTGGCTTGATGGCTCAGAACAATGACAGCCAAGACCAGAGGAAGAGAGGGCTAGATTGGGGCTGAGGACCTAGGTGGAGATGTGGCCGAGGTGAACTGGCAGAGACACGTACTGATGGCCTCTGTTCGTGGGCCTGGGTCTGGAGACCCAAAGGTTTTCCTTTCTCAGGCTAAAGGGAATATTGTATCCCTTCCTCCTGGGTTGCCCCAGCTCTCTCTTTGCTCACAGACCAACGTAAAACCTCAAAAGTTGGAAAATGTCTACACTGGGTCTCACTGGCTGCCTCCCCATCACCGCCTGAGCTCTGAGGGCCCAGCCCTGTCCGTTGGAGCAGAGGCTCTGGCCATTCAGCTTGGGGGAAAATGTTAGTTGTTCTGTGGTGACATGGAGATGAACTAGGGTTGAGCAAGGGGAAGCAGCCCTGACGCTAACAGGGAATGGAGTAATGGGAAGGGACCGGATCTTTATCCCGGGTCAGGATGCCTTCTGTCCAGGTTCACGAGGGTAAAGCCACTGCCCCAGGGGACTGTGTGGTGTCTGTCTTTCTGACTTTGCAGTACTGGAATGGAGGAGGAATGGAGACAAGGAAAGAGGCAGTTTGGGAAAAAAAAAAAAAAAGAAAAAAAAAGTGTACCTCAAGGGAGGACCTTGAAGCTAGGCTCTGGCTGGAGGGGTGCAGCTGGCGGTAGACCGTTGCCTTATGCTGTGTCTTGGAGAGGGTGGCTTTCTAAGGAGGGTGAAGAGGGGAAAGCAGATACAGGGTTCCGGGCTGTGATGAGGCAGGAGCAGGCCAGGGGATGTCTGGGAAGGTCTTTAAGAGTTAGGGGCTTATCAGACTGAGATGGTCTAGAGAGGTGTTTTTGTTTTGTTTTGTTTTGTTTTGTTTTGTTTTGTTTTGTTTTGTT